CCCTTTCTCGCATAGGAGGTGACAAGTTTTAACCCCAAATCCGTGTGAAATGAAACTTCTAAGAAAAGCAGTTATTTAGAGGGATTGACCTATGTGGAAAATTTAGCACTGTGCTAAAACGAGAGCTGTCCAAGGCAGAGTTCAGGGTGCTGACATTAGAGTATTTTGGTAAGAGCTGAAACATGCTTTGATTTAGCTGCACTAATACACTCGGGAGGGAAAAAAAGAGACTATATGTTAAGAGTGCAATTGTCCAGTTGGTGTGGCCTCTGAAGGCAAAGCCAAATACTAGGAATTTGGTCTTAATTTCAAAGGCTCTATATTGTGTTATTTGAATATGTAGGTATCAATCATTGAATTACATAACAAAGGACTGTAAGTTACAAAGTGTATTATCTACTGCTGTGGTTAAGAGGTGAATTTAGCATGTGGCAATATCTGTGTGTGTACCACAGCCCCAACTCGATGGCATAAAGCAGCCAAAGCAGCCTCCAGACAAATTCCTGTCATCCTCCAACCGTGGAATGTCTCTTGATCATTCTGTAGTGTAGTCAACAATGACAGGGTATGCTATGGAAACTACTGTCAGTCTGTACAGATTATAGCAGTCATGCTTGGTCAGTAAGCTGTTGGGATGAGATAGAATCCATCAAGTTACCTTTCTTTCACCTGTTATTGAAAGGCTTAGTAAACTTGGTGAGGCCTTTTCTGTAAGGCTCTTGTACTGGCTGCAAGCACACAGACTTAACTTGGATCCTGTGTATCATGCTGCACTTGTCAGTTAAGAGTGCACAGCTTGATCTTCTGAAAAAACCAAGAGTTTAGCCTAAAGGATATGGTTTCATCCAGTTTAAGGAAAAAAAGCAAAAAAAACCCCACATAGCACATACAGTTTTTTCCTCATGTTGCCTTTTGAACATAAATGGATGCTAGTTCTAGCAAATCAAAGTTACACATAAACACCAAAAGCCAATTTTGTTTAAACATAGTCTAGTTTCTAAAGTGCTGCTAGCTTCTAGTGCCAAGTCTAGGTTGCCTCTAAACAGAGTAATGACAACTTAAACTGCTTTAGTCTATAGTTAGATAAAAAGGCTCAAATGCTTTCAAAAGCTTAGTTTGTTACCTTGGAAACTCTGAAAATAGAAAATACAGCCATGTTATTAATGTTTTCATTTGAAGTGAGGCATTTGAAAAGTGCAGTATTGACTGATCTAAGTTTTGTTTGTTGGCTTCACTTCTGTATTGCGCTTCACTAGTATTTAGTTATTTGAGATGCTTCAGAGGATATTTTGTGGGGGATAGTGGGCAGGGAAGTATTGGCCTTTCATGAAAGTAAAGACTAATAGTGGAGATACTCCTGTAGTACTGATGAAGATAGAACTAGATTCAGTAACTAAGCAGGAAGAAGTGCACAACATACTAGTTAAGGCAGGTGCAAAGTCCCATCTGTTGTATGTGACTGTTCTTGGAGGTCATAATTGGTTTTAATTTTGCAGACCCTTCTTAGGACTAAAATTTTTACAGCCATTTGTCCAAATCCTAAAAGAGCTCAAGTATTTTGCTTTTGATGCCTTATTCTATCCTGAATGCTTTCAAAGCAGTAGGAATGATCTTAGGCTCTTTCCAAAAACTGAGTTGGCAGTCCTTGATAATCAATACTGCTTTGTTGCAAATAACAGAATACTGCTGAAAGAACGTAAGTTACTGGCGAGGAATATTTTGGGCAACTTCTACTGTTTCTTATAGCCTGTAATAAACTTCAGGGTGCATTGTGGCATTCCCTCAAAGAGGCGGGGGGAAGCCCACCCTTTTGCGCTCCTATAGTATCACTAGCTTTTGACAAGATGCAAAAGTGTTTAACTTCCAGCAGTTGGTCCTGTTTCTGACAATGCTGCTGAGGTGTGTACCACTGCGAGCATCTTGCTGCATGTGCTTTTCTGTAGTACTTCCTGAATCTAAATAGCTCTTATCTCTTTGAAATTTCAGGAAGATGTTTGTTGGCGGCCTCAGTTGGGATACAAGCAAAAAAGACTTGAAAGATTACTTCACCAAATTTGGTGAGGTAACTGACTGTACGATAAAGATGGACCCTAACACAGGAAGATCCAGAGGCTTTGGATTTATTCTCTTCAAAGAACCTGGGAGTGTTGAAAAGGTGAATTTAAGCTTCATACTTCAGATTCTTCACTTCTAGGAGAAACTTATCAGCTTGAGTTAATCCTATCAAACTATCTTTCAGGTTCTGGAACAGAAAGAACACAGGCTAGATGGACGACTAATTGACCCCAAGAAGGCCATGGCAATGAAAAAGGATCCAGTGAAGAAAATATTTGTTGGTGGACTAAACCCAGAAGCCACAGAAGAGAAAATCAGGGAATACTTCGGAGAATTTGGAGAGGTGTGTAATGTTATCTTAGTAAACACTGAAACATACAGTTTCCAGTTGCTGTTTAGTTTACTGATAATTTGCAATTTGCAAATTAAATTAACTTCAGATGTGAAATTAACTGCCTTCTGTAACTGATCCAGAGGTTTCCCATCTTGAGAGAAAGGAAGGCACATACTGCACCAGATGCTTCTATTGCTAGTTGGATACCCTTGTCTTTACCTCAAACCATTTTATCTGATGTTAAAATTCTTTTTAAGAGTTGTAAAATTGAAACCTCTGGTCTGAAAACTAGTGTTAGTATAGAAAGAATATTGCAACTTTGGTGTTGCATAATATGCATAGATAGGAAACTTACTTGCCATTTTACTGTCCCAAATGCTGTGCACTTAACTGTTCTGCTAAAATACAAGTCTGAAAATAGTATTTCATGTCTTCAGATTGAAGCAATTGAACTTCCAATGGATCCAAAGACCAACAAAAGGAGGGGGTTTGTGTTCATCACTTTCAAGGAAGAGGATCCGGTGAAGAAGGTTTTGGAGAAGAAATTCCACAACGTCAGTGGAAGCAAGGTAGAAACTTTGACTTAAAAATTTTTGTCCAAGTTAGTAAGTGTAATACCACTACATCTATAATCTGAAAAGGATTTTGTTAGACCTCTGATTTCAAGGTACCCAAATTACAATAAGGACAGCTTGCAATTTACCACAGGTTTTTTTTTTTTTGCCATAAGTTCAGTCACAGAGGCTACCAAGGTTCTTTGCCAATACCTGTGGCTTTAATACTTGCTATGTTCTAGAGGATTTTGTATATGAAGAACCTAATTGCATTCATTAAATACATGTGGAAGAAATGGCTTATTTATCCATGAGTCTAGCAATATAAGCCATTTCAACAGATACATATTTTCAGCATAGAGCACTTGCATAAATTCAAGGCTTACAGCCACTAACTTTGTAAGCAGCTGGCTGAAACTGGCTCTGTCTGACATCGGGGCAGCTTCTGGTGTCTACTCTCAGAAGCCCCCCCTGCAGCCCTCCCTGCTTGAGGACAAAACCTTGTCATGTAAACCCAATACAAGGATCCAGAGAGTAAACATATGCTTATGGCAACTTGCACCTGGTCAGCTGGTTATGTGAACTACTATAAAAGTGGTGTGAGATGCTCTGAACAGCTGACTGCTCATCTGTGGGAATAGCTAATAGAGGCTCATCTGTCAAGCTAATGAGAAGAGAACTGGAGGCAAATGATGTGTGCTGGCTGGAGGTGACCCTCTTCCCTTGCTCCATGGCCAATGCTGACCATACACTAACTTCAAAGCCCTATTAGATCTGGTCATACTATCTGACACTGACTTAGATTGCACTTAGTTTAAGACTGGTCTTGACACAGCACAGGATAAACTTTGGCAAACCTCATGCACTGGTAGTTGTCAAGACACTGTAGTTAGTGATAAAGTTTGTTTTCAGGAGAAATGAATGCTTATGTGCCAAGGGAGCTGAGAAATCCTATCTGTATCTTGTAACTATGGCTTGTTTTTGTGTCATAGTGATAATAAAAAGAGCAGGTTACCTTATATCTCCTCTGGTGAAGAATTCCAAGCCAGGCTTGCTCAGGTGCTGCCATCACTGGGAGTTGTTCATTTCACAGCAGCAGTAGCTTTCACCTCGGACTGTGCACAGAGCCAGAACTAAGAAGCTGGCTGACAGCTTGAACTGCAGCTTGGGAACCTGTCTTAGAAATGTCAATTCTGGTTTGTTTTAGTTGTTCTCAGTATTTGATAAGTGATGATTTCAAGTGTTGGTAGGTGTACTGTACAGTCCAACACGTGCTCAGTGTATAGGGTGTACGAAGGCTGCCAGGAAAACTCGTTCTGGTGCATTTCTCAGAGCCTTGATCATTCAGTGCAGCTCTGGTGAAGTGGTCCAATAGCAACAGCCTCGTCTTGGAGGTTGTGCCAGCGCAGAGGACAGCCTCGTGGCTCCTACAGGAGCTGTGGCTCTGCTGAGGTGGCCTCAGCACCTCCTCCGCGGGGGAGTTGGTAGTAGAGAATAGGCAGCATAAGGTACTCTGAAAGCAGTGGCCTGCTTTGAGTGGCCCACAGTGACTTACCTTTGCCCAGACGGCACAATAAATCAGATGCTTCTGGATATGCATTAGTCCTGGTCACGTGATGGAGCACAGCACGTATACCTCCTTTGCCTCTAGAGTAACCTCTGGCTTTCCTAGGTGGTTAGGTTGGGTGCTGCTGCTATGAGACAGTATACACACTCTTCCTTGTTTTTTATTTTCAGTGCGAGATTAAGGTAGCACAGCCAAAAGAAGTATACCAGCAGCAACAGTTCAGTAGTGGTGGAGGAAGAGGTAGCTATGGAGGAAGAGGCAGAGGTGGAAGAGGCGGCGGTAAGTACTACACGCACTACTTTAGTATGGACACATTCTAAATAAGTTGTGTGTACTAAAATGGGATTTTGTGGATGGTTTTCCCTTCTATAGCTCAAAGTCAAAATTGGAATCAAGGTTATGGCAATTACTGGAACCAGGGTTATGGGAATCAAGGATACGGCTATCAGCAAGGTTATGGTGGCTATGGAGGCTATGATTATTCAGGATATGGGTATTATGGATATGGACCAGGCTATGATTACAGTAAGTAAAGAGAACTGTATTGGGTATAAGCAAGCGTAACTAATTAGCAGTTTAATGCATTTGTTTTCTTGTTCATAGGTCAAGGCAGTGCAAATTATGGGAAGACACCAAGACGTGGTGGTCATCAGAATAACTACAAGCCATATTGATCAAACTTATTCAGGTATGCAGTGGCATGGTCTCTTTTGGAAAATGACTGCATAGGTTTTGTATACAATGCTGTAGATGGATATTTCAGTTCTGTACCAAATTTAACTTTACAATAAATTTCTATGGCCTGTTAAATGTGCATCTTACTTGGAAGAGCTCCCTGGAAATGTTTTACATGTTTAATACTTACAGATAACTAGTTGTCTAGACAGTGTGGTGTGTAAATTTCAGCCTTGCTGAAGATATTAATTAATGATTTTATTAATAGGTTAAACTGAAACTGATTTTGAGGGTCTGCTTAAAGCTGCAGCTCTGCATCTAGGGACTGCCTCTTGGAGTTAACTATGGACTCTGCATTACTCCAGTTGTACAGAATGAGATGCATCTTAGGGAACCTAAGTGTCACTTTCCACCTTTTTATTTTGTATTGTTTTTGTGTCATACATTTCCTGTAATGGAAGTGTTAATTTTACTGTACTTTTTGGTACCTTTTTGGAATCTAATGTATTGTAAGGTATTTTACATGTGTTCTGATTCACCATGACATGGATATTGAAGCTATCCTAGCTTTTGAAATAAAAAAGGCGTAATCTAGTGTCTTGTGCCATTCTTCAGCTTATGTATTAGTAAAACGCCAGTATACTGTTCCCAGAAATTAGTTCATGGCAGTACCTTAGATGAAGAGTTGTGATAAAATGTTTTTAATCCTAAAACTAGAAGGCGGTGTTGGTAGTTGTGCTCACTTGCAGTTAAGTGGCAGCTAAAAACTGCAGTTACTTCTGCCTGGAGGTTATGGAAGAGAACTCGGGTGGAAAGCCCCAGCTGTTGCGGAGGCTGTGCTGGCATGCCGGTGGCTCATGTTCTAGACAAGTACAGAGGCTCAGCGTAACTGTGTTGGTGTCTGCATTGTAGAGGTCTGCTAGGAGGAGCCAGAGGTGTAGGTTTCAGGTAGGGCTTGGGAGTCTAGACAGCATCGCAGGAGGAAGCTAAGAGGTGTACAAGCAGCTAGCTGCTCGTCCTTCATGTTTCACTGTCTTGAGTCTGAGACTTTTCTACAAGTTCTTAATAGTATGTATACCTGCCTTGAAAGACAGGTTAGACACATTAAATTACCGGTGCAAAGTGAATTTTTGCAGACTTTTTGTGTATCAAAAAAGGCTGAAGAACTTCCACTAAAGTTGTGGGAGGAAAACCAAAGCTGCCTCTAAAGAGGCAGCACTTTCTCTAGAGATGAGTGACCAGCTAGAAATATGCTCTCCTTTTTTGACTGGTTTATCACTATTTTAAGGCAGTAACTATCATGTGGTTTGCCTGTCTTGCTGCAGAATAGTCCCAATCTCAGATTTATAAATAAGTAGCAAGGGCTGCTGCACAAAGTAAACTTCTACTCTTTGTTGCGGTAGTCAGTTTGATTTTTTTACTTTCCTTTTAAAGCTAAAATGGGACAGTTTTTTCCTTGTAATGAATTTTATTTGAACAAATGGGAGCCAGAAGTGGAATCAAACCAAGTAACTAAGAGAAGACATAAACAGATGTTACTAGTGACCTTTTCACTTTTTTTTAACAAGGGATGTAGCTATTCCTGCAGGGACTATAGTATGCTGCTCCCTGCTGGCTGCCCTTGAAAAGAAAAACTTGCTGTAAAGTTAGAAGTCTATAAGACTTTTCTGGGGTTAAGTGGAAATCTTGAGTATAAAAAAGATGCAGCAGATTTTAAATCTGATAGTTGACAACTTTACAGCTGGAGTATATAATCTAATGCCCAGCTTGCAAATTAAAAAATTGCAGACCACTGAAACATGAGTACAGTATTTAAAAGTATTACTGTCTCAAGATTTAAAATTGAAATGCTTTATTGCATCCTTCTTTTCTTACGACGTAAGGGGTAGCAGAATATTTTTCTAGCAAACAGTTTGCCCTCCAACAGGGAATTTGCGTAGTATCAGGACCATACTGCTGCAGTATTTCTGGCTACTGTATTAGCAATAGTTTGTCAGCTGGCTGTTATGTTGGTTCTTTTTGGAAGTAGGTTCTCAGGTAATGCTTCCTTGACAGGCAGCAGATGTGGCCTTAAGCAGAAATTGAGGATACTGGTACTTAAATGCAGAGCTGGCTTTCCCTTTCTTCTTTGCATGAAAAGTTTGTGATACAAAGAACATGTAATTGCCTGGTGAAAGCAAGGGCTTGTATGCAAGGTTGTTGCTTATGGCTGTAATGTACTCTTAATTTACTAATCCTACTTGGATATTTCTTGAGGACAGAATATTTTGTAAGAACTGGTTTGGGAGCCGTGGCCCTCAGCTGTCTGTTCCTCATGCATTTGATGTTATGAATTTGGGGCTGAAGTTTTTGACTTAATCTGGTCACTGAGACTGTTTGTTGGATATAGTGCTACTAGGGACCTTGTTATGAAACTGGCTACTGAAACTGGTCAGTGGAGCCTGGGAAGGACTGGGTGTACTGGCAGCTAAAATGGTGTTTGTATGGGTAGCAGCAGATACTAAAAAAAAAAACCACCACCATTGGCTCATCTTAATTTTTTTCAAAAAGCCATAACCTGAAAGAGCATGAATTTAGAAAATGTAGTTTATAGTAGCTACTAGAAATAACATTCCTTTATAATCAGTTTTAGATACGCTGTTTTAAATAAAAGCTAATTGCACACTTCTGCCAGAGTTGAAACAAGCTCTTGTAAAATTTATTTCTCCTAAAGCTTTTACTAGTAACAAGGTAACTGAAAATAACAAAATCAAAGGTAACTTATCTGGTCTAAGGCATGCTAGGATGAAGATTAAATGTGCATTATTATAGTAGAATAATGTTTCTTAGTAGTAGATCTTCAAAATTGTTTGAAACCTATGGAAAGAAAATAATGTTATGGTTTTTTTTGTAAAAGCATCATTAAAAGGAATCTACTTCATTGCCTCATTTTGACTTACATTATATGTAAGTGTCATACTAGTACTGTACTTATTAAGAGGCTTTTTGCATTCTTGGTTTCCTGTAGAAAATAAAGGCATTTTTCTTGCTTAGTTTAGATTGCAGACAAGCACAGTAAGTTATTAGGCCTCTAAGTTAAACTGGCACTGTTGAGTAATCTTTCTGTTCTCAAGAATAAGTAGTACAAACAGCTGTATGTTTTTCCATTAACTTGCTAAATAAAATATTAACACATTTTTCTCATGCCTGCTATACTAATATTGCATTGAACTAAAAGCATGTTTCTCCTTAGGTCAGGGCCATAGCACTGTGAATCTAGTATGGTTGAGGCCACCAATGATTACATTGATTGCAATGATTGTTAGGTACATTCCTGTCCAGGTACTGAGAGTTTTACTGGCCACTTGGTTAAAAAACACTTGGTTGTCTTTTAGTCAGAGTAGGTTGAAGAAGGGTGTTGTACACAAAGGGTGTTGTTACCGAGGTGTTAACTGTAAGTGTACACTGTGCTCATGAGTGTGTGGCAAAATGAATTGCAGCTAGATGTTCTCTGTAAGCAAGCTATAGAGGGACCTCAACAGATACCAAGACTTACAAGGCTTGGAAGACTTAACAGGACTCAGTCTTACTGATGCCCACAAACTTCTGAGTATAGGGGTAAATTGATGCTTAAGCATGAGATAACCGCCATGAGCCTGAAATGATACTACAAAGTAGTCAAAAATGCTCAAGAGAATAGAAGGCAATACTACTTCAAAGTCAGATGTTAAGTAAAACAGGAGCTATAGTAGTAAAAGTACTGTTTATAGCTCTTCATAAAGCTGTTAATATAAGTGGAGGTTCCCAAATTGTGGCATGCAGAATGTACAGTGTTCCTGCCCTTAAGGGGGCAGTTAAGGGGAGATTGCTGAGAAGTAGTTATGCAGCTGGAACAGCTTCTGTTTGGAGACTTAAGGCACTGAGCAGCTAGCATAAAAACTATGTTTTTGTCTTGATGCGTGTGTCATCTGCATGCCAAGGGTTAAACTTAGTCACTCTTAAAGCTTCCCAGACAAGCATAGCATGCTCTAGTGGTAGACATTTCTGGGACATGTTGGACCTAGCTCGCAAACAGATGAATGCATACAGTGTTACTAGAAGTGTCAGACTCTGATAGAAGGTAGCTGTGAATGCCAGATGCACACAAGTCTGGCCCATGCTTCTAGATCGCTAGAAATTCCTGCAAACTAACTTCAGGTAAAAGCATCTCTGAGGAAGCTTGGTCCTGCTCTACTGCCAGTGACAATGCTTGTGAAATTATGTTTAGGAACCTTGGCCTTTAAATACTAAAGGATGAATGTAGATAAATACCTGCTCAGGTAGAACAAGTGAATGTTTTCTGTTGGTTCAGACATTCTTTTTCCATATCTGGAGAGAGAATAAGCAACAATTTAGCAAACTTGTGACTTTGAGACAAGTGTTTGCACTAACTTGGTTAATATGGAGCGTGCAGAAGTTGTACAAAAAGCTAAGTGGCAAATGCACACAGATTATGGCTTTCAAGAATGAAATTTGGACAGCTTTTACCAGTTGCCCTTGTTCAGATAAGTAAATGCTTCAACCTCTGCCACAGCAAAGTTATTTTAAAACGGGCATGTGCATCTGTGGAGTAAATAGTTTTGTTAGAGAACTTTAAACAGAATAATTTATGAGTGAAGGCTAAACTTGCATTGACTAAGACTAATTTTCCTATGTGCTCAACATCTACCTTCTTAGCTCTATTTTAGCACTTCTGAAAAGGAGGCTCAGTGGTTCAGCATTGCCTTTAAGGCAGTCCAACAGCAACCCTATATAAGGCAGTTTTGATCTGTACTACCTGTTAGTAGTTTGTCAATTGTGTCCACAACAAATTTTGCATCCTCCATACTGAAGCACATTGGAGGCTTGAATTTAAGCACATTTCTTCCTGGCCCATCTGTACTCAGTAGAATATATTCTTCCTTAAGTCTGGAAAGAGCAATAACAAAGAATTACGTTTACCTTTGCATGTAGTTCAGAAAAACTTGCAAGTATCAGCATGGGCTGTCCAGACAATGCCTTTCTGCACTGACTGGTTTCTTTTTCTGCCAGTTGGCTATATTTTAACAACTATTGAGTGGCAAGGTTACTCTGTAATTGTGTGCTTGCCTTGCACATTGAGGAACTACGTGATTGTCCCTAGTACCTTGTTATTAGATACTCTGCTTCTGATGTGGCCGGGGTCCTTTCTGCTTGATCCCTGATTAAGTCCACTCCAATGAATAAACCAGAGCCCCTTTAAAAGAAATAAAAATAGTCAGTCTGTGTCAGAGGAAGGAACTGCAAGTGAACTAAAAAATTGAGGAAGGTTTTTGTGAGACCAAACCTTTACTGCATGAGAATTACCTGATGTTTGGCTAGTGATAGAAATATAGTAATACAGTACAGACTTTTATCTGCTCAGAATGCTAGCACAGGACATGATGCTAAACATATTTTCCTTCCAGCTCATTAATTCTGTTCTTTGTGCACTTGAAGTAAGAGTTCAAACAGGAAAGTGAATTTTCTTTAGCAATTAATAAATCAATAAAGCAGTACTGGCCTACAGTGGCGAAGTGTATCAGACTTTTGATAAGCTCAAGTTTGTTTTAATCTAAC